GTCTCAAAATTTAAAAAAAAAAAAAAAAAAGGACTAGGATGTAGCTCAGTGTGAAGGTCCTAAATTTATTCCCCATCCCACAGAAAAGAAGCATCTACTAGAGGTTTCAAGTCTGTGTCAGTGTAAGACTGTGATACCATCAGTAAAAAGTAAAAGTGGGCACGTTAACAAATACCAAAAATTGTGAAGATGAAGGCTTTGTGTTTGAGATTAAGGTTTCAGTTGAATAAATAAAAAGTTAAAAGACAGTTGAAAAGGTGACTACAGACAAGGGAAATGTCAAAGCTAGAGATGAATCTGGGGTTCATTTGCAGAGAAGTTTTACGTGAAGCTATTGCTACAACTAACAGCTAAAATGTACCAAGGGCCTACACAGTGCAAGGTATCCTAAGTACTGTAAATATTATTACCTTTTTTAATCCTCATAATGACATGACTGTCAGCCCCACTTCACAGAGAAACTAAAGTACAAAAGAGTAAGTAAATTGCTTAAGTCACATGACTAGGAAGAGCAGAAGCCTGAATTTGAAATCAAGAACTTTGACTGGAAAGGTTCTTATCTCAACCATGACTGTTCTCTATGTCTGTGTCTGTGTTAGCTTGGGAATTAAAGGAAGGACCTGCAGTGACATTTTGGCATGGAGTGGATCAGAAATGTTGGCTTAGCCCCTGGGGCTGATGGGCCCAGCAGAGGAAATTGGGAAGAAACCTGCAGCATGCACTGAGCAATGATATTAGTAGAGTATAAGCAATTCCTAGGGATGCCCAGAAGCAATAGGGAAGGACCCCAAGTTCCCGAAGAACTACGGGGCAAGGACTCTCACGAGAGAACTTTGCAAGTAAAAAAGAACAGGTCCGGCCTGTGATAATAAACTCACAGAGTCTTTCACTGTATTTGGATGCTTAGTAATTGGTCACTGTGCGTGCATATTAAGTCTTCCTGCTGTTTTCTGATACTCTTATTCCTTGAAGGGCAATCCAGGGCTTGCTCAATGACTGCAATTCAACTGAGATTCACCATTTACTACTTGCAGGTAAACAAGCTGACTCTGCCACAAGCTTCTCCTTTTCTATCAGTGTTATTTCTAAGCTGCAGCCTCCTAAGGTCCTATACATACTAGGAAATAATTACAGTTATCCACAGATAAACAGACCAGAGTGAAATCGGTTTTTCTCCATTAATAAAAAAATTTAGATGAATATTACTTTTGATCAAGGTCACTGAAAGCAAGATGGAAGAATTACAAAATTTATCTGAGAAGTTAGTAGTCAGTTCAGCAGAGATGCAAGTTTGCTAGACTAAGACAAATATTAGAGCAGTATGTGGTCATTTTGTGTCTTTGGAGGAGGAATCCCAATGAGAAACTTAGGTGTGGAAAGACAAGATAACCGCTCCTCCAACCCAAAAGGAAAATAAGCTGCTTATCAGGCATGGTGAGTCTATGGTATATGGTCAGCCTTATTAGCATATCTTAATTGGGAATTAGACTGTCATCGGCAGAACACATTGTAAGTTACAAAACTTGGGAGACAAACAATTCATTTAAATTCCGAATGTACATCTTGTCTCCTACCTTTTCCGTGAAGTGTTTTTGTTCCCTTTTCTTTTCCTTATTCATCTTTCTTTCTTCTACTTTCCTGTTCACTGTCCTAATCCTTCCCTCTCCACAATTATTTTTGTGATGTATTTCCACAATTATCCAGTTATTACTTCATTGCTATTCCTTCTTTCCTTTATATTGCTCTTCCTGTATCTCTCCCTACCATTATTTATTCTCATTCATCTTTTTCATTGTGTTTTCCTCTTTCCTCTCTTCCTCCCTCTTTTCCTTTGTACCTCTCCATCACTCATCCTCACAAGCTTAATCTCACATAAAAATTAATTTATAATAGTGATTTCCTTTGCTGGTTACGAATTCCATTTGTGCAGCTTATCCCCAGGACTCAGGTTTGCATAAGATTGGATGCATCTCCTAGCCTGTTGCTGTAAGCTCCAGTGTTTTGATGACCCTCTCCCTCTTCACACATCTAGAGGAATAACGTTATCCATTATCTCCTCAGAACAGGGACAGGAGGGACATTCCATTCCACTGCATACACACACATTTGTCCATGATGGCATCTTTTTTATGGAAGACACTGTTCACTCCCAGAACCAATGAGATCAGCACCATATCCACAGCCGCATCTGTTAAATGTGTTTCCATTGCTCTGCAGCTGCATAGCTCAGACCCTGGTGGGCAACCCTGCCTCTGAACTTGAGGGAGAATCACACAAGTCATTGAACTTGGTTCATATATAGCCTAGGAATGGGTACAGCAACTACTCCAGATCTGGGGGTAGTACTGGTGGGGGTATGTTTGCTAGAGAATTTAGACTAGAACAGAGCAACTACATATCATAGCATTGGCTGTTAATCTCACAGAGCTGGTTTGGTTGTGAGAGGAATGCTGTGAGATATGAAGTATTTATTTCCCAAGGTACACACAACGCTGTTGGTGGAGGCTATGGTAGTCTACACTGCAGAGCCATACAGAGAGGCTTATATTTGCCAGAAAAATGCTATTAACTATATACTGTCATCTAGGTAGCGTCTGGGACTGCTGGACTAACTCTTCTCAGTTTCATAAAAGCATGAAAGAGCTGGCCGAGGGTGGGTCTCAGGGAGCACTTTGTCCTCCTCCTGCTGAGCCCTGCCAATGCCAAGTTCTAGCTGCATCCCCAAGCCACCCCTGAGCCTCAGCCCAAGGATGAGTTTCAGCATCTCCACCCAATCAGTGCCAAATGAAAAGATGTCCTGGACAGCCCAGGAGAAACCACACTTCATTAGCCTTCAAAGCACCTAAGACCTAGGATTGATCTTGGGTTACTCAGAAACCTCAAGGAACATGAAAACCTGCTATAAATCCACGATTCCAGTGACCAGGAAAGCTTTGTGTGGTCATTTAGAATATGTTGCTCTACACCAGACAAGTCCAGCTCACGTGACCCTAGACAGCTAGTACTCCAGCCCAAGAAGATCATAAACTGTTAACATGACTTTGTGATCTTGGTAATATTTTGCATGACTCAGCTGTGCGGTGCTGAAGCTGGGACTGCAGGTGAGCACAGAGTGCTATACAGGGGAGGTGTACAAAAATGTACACAGGTGTACAAGGGAGGGCAGTACAGGGCTAACCCTACCTCCTTAGCTACCGCACAGTCAGTCCAATTCAAACCCGCATGGATCAGACTTCACATGTGCTTGTATAGCTTGGTGAGTAAAAGGCAGTGATTTGTTAATAATAGCATTTCTTTTTCTTTTTCTTTTTTGAGACAGGGTCTCACTATGTAGCCCAGGCTGACCTCGAACTCACAGAGATCCTCCTGCCTCAGCCTCCTGAGTGCTGGGATTACAGGCATGGTACTCCTGGCAAGACAATAATATTTCTGTCTATCGGCATGTGTGTGTGACTATGAAGACAGGCCTTTATTGTTATTAAGAAGATATATCAGTTTTCCTATTCAGTAATTAAATTTGAGCTTGTTGTCTTCCTACAATAATTTAATAAGTTAAAATAGTCTGTTAGCAGCAGTGATATAGGAAGTGGAGAAATGTACCGAATAGTTTTTTGCTCATGATATTGTTAAGATTACATATGCTACATGGCTAATACTAGAAATGGTGTAATAGAAAGGAAGCTTTGGTACTTATATATATTAACTATCTTATATCTTTTATTTATAAAAGGTGAACACAACAAAATGATCATTAAGAGCCACAAGGAAGTGACTTATGTATCTATGTATCTGATTTATGTATGATTTATGTATCTGGTTACTGAATCCCCCTAACTGTATTGGAGTCACTGGATATTTCTGAGTCCTTTGTCTCAAAATTTATACATCATTGTATCAGTCCTGTTCATCTTAGCTCCTTGTAATATACAGCCTCCTTGGGAAATAAACCAAGGAAATACAAAATTCAACTAAATTTGAAAAAGAAATAGAGTTGTAAGAATACATTCTCCCACACACATGTTAACTAATATTTTAATACTATCAACTTTTACACTTTGCCTTTGATACACCAGAGTGCATAAGCTATTATCCTAACACTCTCACTTTCCTTCTCCTGATAAAAAGGAGATCCTGAAATAATCATGTCCATTATTTCTCTAAGGAGCCAGGTGAGGCTCATGGAATTTCTACATCCACTTTAGAGTAATTATGCATCCCAGGTTCCCAAAGGCAGTTCCAGTTTCAAAGATTCTGTCCCACTGTCTTTATCCGTGGCTTCTCCTTTCTCAGACCGGCCTGACTGAGCTTCAGAAAACATGATGCCCAGTCTAGGCCTTTGCACTTCTCCACCCATTCTGCACACACGAATGACCTCCCATGCCCGTGCCACACACACTGTTGGAGTATATAGGATGCGACATCCTGCCATGGTGGAAATGTGAGCAGTGGTCTGTGGGCACAGGTAACCAAGAGCGTAGAACAGGAGGCAGCACATGGAAGCCCTCGGCCTGTGAGCTGGCTCCAAGAGGCATGGGATTCAACTGCCAGGTAAGAGCAGGGGAGAAGCCTAGTGGGTAGAGAGCCGCTGCAAGGCTTTGGTGAGCACATGCATATTTGTGAGGAGTGGTCATCGTGCTGTGAACACCAGTGCACAGCCATGGGGGAGACAGGAGAGGAGCAGAAGAGAGCAAACCTGGGGAGGTGGGTTAAATCCAGACTTCAAGGGGTCTGGGATGCCAGGCTGAGGAGCTGAGACTTTATCCTTCCTGTAGTTGAATGTTCTTGAGCAAGGTAGTGGGTTGAGAAAATATAGACTTCAGGAAAAGTGACTTTTTACCTGAGGAAGGAAAATATGTGGAGGAGAAGTCAGTTAGAGGCTGATGTCTCACACAGAGGAGGCAGTGGTCCAGAGGAGGTGCCAGGGCCCCAGCTAAGATCAGGCAGAGAGCTCATGGGAGGGTGCAGATTTTGGGGCCAATTGGATATAGAGACCATGATTTCTATGGTGTAGACTTTATTTGAGCTCGAGACTGGAGTCCTTCCTCTTGAAACTACTTGAAAATGAGCCATAAATAGGCCTCTGCTTCAATCACGTCCTCCCAGTCTCCACAATGGGTCTTACCAGAGGTGGCCACCAGGGGGCAGAGGTATTCTAACGACTGCAGTAGAGACCTGAAAAGAAGCAGATACATAAGGTGTAGATGCAAATAATTAGAGCAAAACATAGGTGGGATGAGGCACCATCAAGTAATCTAGGGGGAAACTGAGGACAGAGGTCTGGGATTCTTACACCATTAGGAAATGAGACAAGTATGCAAATTGAGCAACAAAACAGAAAATCAGTTATTGAGTGCCTAATATAGTGCATATCAAGCACATGCTTTTTTATTATTTCTAATCCACACATGAATTACACACAATAGCATACACAGATTCTCATTTTATAGCCAATAAGACCAAGTCTGGGGATTTCATTCACTGAAACGTTTATTGAGCATCTACTATATGCCAAGCACTCTTCAAAGCCCTTGGGATACAGTGAGTGGACAGACTTGAAACCCAGGTGACCTGGGGGAGTGGAGGAATCAGAGACCAAAGGAGAAGACACATGAAGGCGATCACTCGGACACCAGCAGCTGCCAGGAAAGACAAGCCTGGTAGCATGATGGAGTCCAGTGGGAAAGGGCAGCCGGGGACTGGAGGGTTTAACTGGTTGATAAAAGAAAATGACTCTGAGCAGTTGCTGCAGAGTTTCAACCTGACTGCAGAGACTGAGCTGACCAAGTGGAGACCTGGGAAAGAGAATTCTGGGCAGGCAGGGAAGACAGCAGGTCCAAAGGCCCCAGGGAAACAATAATGTTGGCGCCCCTTAGGACAGAAAGCCATCAATGGCAGGAGCTGAGGACAGTGAGCAAGGACATTTGGTACCAGACGCATGGGAGAAGGGGTGGGAGATGATAAGGAACTCGGATTGTATTTTAGCTCACCGGAAATTATTGCCACCTGTGTCCAGACCAGCACCTAACATCTGCAGGGCCTGCAACAAGAGTGGATAGAGAAGTACCAAATGATGTTATCAAGGCCTTCACCATCCACAGCTACAGGTCCAGAAGCTGTCCTGGAAAAGGCACACTTGAGGTCATGTTGCTAGTGACTCGCTGGCTAGTGAAGGGTGTGGTCCAGGGCAAGCGTGGCTCACTGCACTCTGCCTGGCGCAGAATGTACCATTAGAAGCAGAGACAAGGTAGAGCCAGGGTTCAACTGTGGGAGAAAGAATAGGTGAGGAAAGTATACAACTCACCTGTTGCTATGTGACAAACTGCCCCAGGTCTGGTGGCATAAAACACCAATGAATACTTACTATCACTCCCAGTTTCTGTGGGCCAGAGGTCCAGAAGTGCTTGGCTGAGTGGCTCCTGCTCTGGGTCTTTCGTGAGGTCGCAGTCAGGGTCTTAGTGTGGTCACCAGTGGAGCTGATCTCTGAAACTACCTTCCACAGCAAGTGAAAATGAGTATCAAGGGAGTAGACTCTAACTGCTGTGTCTCCTTTTCTCCCCACTGCTGTAGGAATCCCTTACCATCGTTCATTGTAAGACTACACTCAGAAGGCTAAGTCATCATCATCCCAAACTCACACTACTAAGTGGCAGAACTGAGAGTCGAACTGCACAGAATTCTCTTCCTGAGTGAAGAGGTAAAGCACAGGGTTATTGAGGAGAGTTCAGGGTGGTAGAAGGAAAAGTAAGTGAAATGGAGCCAGGATCCTAGCCCCAGTTTAAGCAAATATTTCAACCTCTTTGTGCCTCAGTTTACTTACATGGAACTCGGGACTAATACCAGTACCTACGTAGCAGAGTCATTGAAAGGATGAAATGGATTGACAATTGCAAAATTCGGAGAATGATGGCTGGCCAACTGAGTGATTTTATGAATAAATCAATAAATCAGTAGACACATCAGTGAATCAATAGTATGGACAGCTCTCCTTTGCTTTAAACCTTTCTGAGTAATCCTCTGATCTGAGCTATGCTTTGAAACTTTGATTTTTGTCTGAAAGTCCCAAGGGGACATCTTTGTGAGGATTGCTGTAGGCGAAAACTAGCAATCATTGCAGGTATCTGTTATGAACCCTGGGAGGTTTTTCAGCATGATTTTCTCCTGCTTCCCTGTGAGCCTCCAGAGAAGTTGTCTTTTCCTTTTCATGTTGCCTGAGCGTTGTGCAACATCCAGCTCACAAATACATGAAGGGCACACCCATGTGGTATTAATAATGCCATTTTGGGTGATGATATAATGGCTTCCAGAATCACCAAGAAGACTGCTGGAACCTCTTTCCACAGGCGGGGCTGCTCCACATGGCTGGGTGGGCCCCTCTCCCACTAAGGGCTCCTCTTACCACAGGGAGAGCTATTTTTGACCTTGGGCAGGGAGATGACTAGTTATTTCCAAAGGGTGAGAGAGAACCAGATGGCCATGACCCTTTGGGATAGGAAAAAAATGTGCATGGTGAGAAAAATCATGGACCCTGTTCTAGTTTTGTTCTTAACCATCATCCTAGCTGACTCTGGTGAGCTCATGTTGCCTGCTTTTGGGAAAGAGAGAGGGAGGGAGAGAGAGGGAGGGAGAGAGAGAGAGCACGCCTTAAATGTGCCACCCATAATAATGAAAAGGCACGTGATCTTTATTACCTCAGCAAACCTGCTAAGGGGCTAAGAGCCTTGAGAATCTGGCAATATAACTAAAGGAAGTCAAGATTTAGTTACTCTGCAGCAAAATCACATTTTTACTTAATATCATTTAAAACAAAATGCCATTTTTTAAAAAGGCTATTACAGAATATCAGAATGACCTTGTGAGACTTTTCATGTAATTTTTAACTGATTTGGCTATTTTCTAATTTACTAATAAAAAGGATTATAAGAATATGAGTGTTCCATCTTACATGTTCTTTAAAAGTAAAATTGGATATTTTTCATAATGAAACTGAAAGAGTAAATTGATGACTTTCATTCCTGCTCCCCCCTCCAAAAAAAATCTATTTTTATGAAATGACCTTTGACTACCTCATTTTTTAAATGAGCTCAAGAGTGATGTTCACCAGGGCATGAGCACAGTAGAGATGTCTTGGCATAAGAGCTGTGGCATCCCTGGTGGCTTGCAGCAGGCAGTTTGCCAGCTTCCGATTTCCAATCCCTGATCTCCCCAGGGCAGCCTTCTCCGCTGCTGAAGGGTTGTGAGGCCTACCAACAGAACACCAATCTTTCCCTGACATCTAGTGTCAGCATGGGAAATGACAGGCCGGGAAGCACACCTTCCTGAGGACAAAAATGCTGACCTTTGTTACCTGGCCTGACTGCATCTCCCTCAGGCCTGCCTCTTGGTCCAGAAGCCCCCAGGGTCCCTCAGAGGAGCAGATGCAACTCCACCCCTGCACTTAGCCGGGGACAGAAGGTACAAAGAGGCAGTGCAATGTGAAAAGGCATCATTGTCCTTATTGTAGAGACCCTGTGCTGATCAGAGAGCGATAGAGCATCTCTGTGTTTGTTTACCTCTTGGTTAAAAAGAAATCAGAAATCATTGCTTATATCTTGATAAACTGCTTCATTCCAAGGTCCTCTCCAATCCCTCCCCTCCGCCTTCACATATGACCTTTTTATTCTTGATTTTTCTGGCATATGGAATTTACACAGAATGCACAATATAGGTCAATTGATGCCAATGTCCAAAAATTTTAAAAAGTGGGACTAGCTTCTAGCTTTTGTTTCTCAGCACTTGCCAGGACCAGGACATTGGATTTTTGGCGGGGGGGGGGGTCACTGGGTCCCTCTAACATTGCACTGCATTAGATGGCATCATTAATGTGTTTGAGGAGCCGTCTTTGCTCTGAAGAAGCATTTGCTAGTGCCGTACTTTCAACAGTGCTGCAGCAAGAGCAGCTCTGTACTGCAGGGGAGGTGAAGAAATTGGAATCATCTGGGAAAACAGGCGAGCCAGGGAGGGGCAGGCAGGAACAGGCACCTTCCTGAGAATCAGAGCCATTCCGGTCAAGCGAAGGAGGGCACCCTCCTCCTCCTCCGGGCAGCCCAGAGAAATCATTCCAGAAGTGTTGAAATTTATTATGACCACCCATCTCCTTAGATTACACACAACTTCCTCAGGAACTCATAGCAATATAACAGTATTGTCTGCCAAGAAATTTCCTCCCAGGTAACCTTGTGTTCCTGAAATCTCAAAACAAGTCCATCCTTTCTTCACCAAAAGCCAAACTTCCTGTATCTTTTTTATTTATCTCATTCATTCAACAAATGTTTACTCGGTGCTTAGTGTGAACCAGGCAGTGAGGTGGCTTCTTGGGAAAGACTGAAGGAGAAACACAGGACCAGCCCTCAAGGTACTTACAGTCAAGGGAAGCACAACCCATGTTAATTAGATGGTGTCTCAGGAGTCCAGGCTCTGCCCTTCAGTTGCCTCTCCCAAACCATCAAAGCGTCATTTCTTTGCCTTAAATCTCTGAGGTCTGTAATGCTTGACCTCTCTCTCTCTCTCTCTCTCTCTCTCTCTCTCCCTCTCTCTGCCTCCCTCTCTGGTAAGCACTGACCCCACCCTGTGCTCACTCACAGGTGGGATTATAGTTACCCAGCTGAGCCTGCAGTCCAAAGGCAGCCAAGGTGGAGGGCAAGAATTGCCAGCTCCCCTGTAATTGATGCCCTAGATCAGTGGTAGTGAACTTATGTATGGCACACGTGCCACAACAGGTTGTTTATATCATTGAAAGCTCTAAAAGGTTCGCTGCCACTGCCCTAGGTTGTGGGAACTGTGGTACACTTGTTCTCTCTGCAGTCTCGACTCAGGATGCTACCAGGGAGTTTTTCCTAGAAGATGCCACATGGCTGACTTGGGTGAGCACCGGAAGTGGCATATGCATGTGCGACAGACCAGCTGCAGGAGTCATGGCCCTTAAGGTCTGATGAAAACCTGAAGGTTTCTAATCATCAGCTTGATCAACAGTAACAAGGAGAGCGTCCTAACAGCAGGCTTATTAGCATGCATTTCAGGACTCCACTCCTTTCTTTTTTAAAAAAAAGGGGGGGGGGCGTGTATAATAAGGGAAAAGTGGGAAAACCAACAAATACTACAGGGTAACAAATCCCATAAATACAACAAAAATATCTCTGAAGACGTTTTGTCTTTTATTAGTTTGGGGGAGTGAAATTTCAAGTTAATCTATGTAAATATCTGACTTGGTAGGGGACACAGTGAAGTTGTCTAAAAACATAATGAGGATTGTTACTGACTTCACTGGAAGAAATGGCTTTTCAAAAGTTCTTTTTTATTTCTGTTTTTCAAATTTGGAGATTCAGGAAAATATGTGAGCCAAGGACTGCTGGAAAGGACTCTGCTCTTGAAACTTAGTATTAGAGGATTTTTAAGGATTTTTTTTCAAAGCAGAGTTTAGCTTTTTATTTAACTTTCATCCATTTTGTGATCCAAAGGCTGTCCTTTCAACAAAACAACCTACGCTAGTTATCATTAGAAAAGTTAGATAAATTTAACAGAAGGAAACTCAGATAGCACCACAGTGAATTACCAGTTACGCTTTTAATTGGCCTGATATATATCCTCACATGTTTACAACATATATGACAAAGATAGAAACTCAGTCCCTCAGGGAGAGAAGAAATGTATAAACAACAAAAGTTCAGATAGCGTGATTGGAAAAACAACATCTGTCCTTCTCATCAAAGGCTTCTCATAATTCACTAGGGTAGCAGCAAGTATTGATTTCTGCCCTTCAGCTTCCTGAGCGGCCATTTATCACTGTTCACCACCCAGAGACTCATGTCAGGAAAGCACTGCTCATCAGGTTTCTTCATAACAACCCATATATATGGAGCAACGGAGAGGTCGGTTAGCTTCATTAGGGCACCATGATGCCTTCCTCAGCCAATGAGTGCTCAGAATCTCCTAGGGCCCAATTTTTCTCTCCCAGCCACATAGTACATTCTATAGAAGGATCTGGTAGAAATCCTTTCCTTATATCTGGCTCCCCTCAATTTTTGTTGTCATTGTTGTTTGGCATTATAGAAACTTCTATGCTGCCTGTAAAGAATTTGTTTGAGAAGTCAACTAAAATTTATATGTTAAAACAGTAGCTAAAACTGGGCATGATGCCACATACCCATAATCCCTGCACTCTGGGAGGCAAAGATGGGAAAAGCACAATGTCGAGCCCAGCCTCGGCAACTGACTTAGTGATTTAGCAAGATTCTGTGTCAAATAAAAAAAATTTTAATTGCTGGAGATGTAGCTCAATGTGAAGACCTTAGGTTCATTCCCCAAAACACAAACACATACACACACACACGCACAAATCAGTAGCCAAATCTCCAATTGCTTCACTAAAAGCACCCCAAAGATGTTCTTGTTTCCACACAGCCTCATGTTCAGCCACAAATAAAGTCTACTTCTCATGAAACTCATTTAACCGAGTGAGTTAGAATCATAGGGCTGAAAAGAGTTTTGAAAAATCATCTGATAAAACCCCAAGCCATCAAAAAAAGTTCAATATCTAAAGCTTCAGTGAAAAATAAGTTTCTTCCTCAGCAAAAAGTTCAAAGGACTGGTAGAGGCTGCCTGGGATTCCAAATGGAAGATTCGGGAGATGGTTCTAACTTACAGGAAACAGTGTTGAGATTAATTAGTGCTGGGAAAGGGAAATTTCCCAGACCAAGCATTTTCTCTTCTTTTAGGTTCACTCCACAATTTTTCCCCATCATCCATTGTCAGGTTATATCTTTCTGTTAACCACCCCCTTATAAAAACCTGTCCAAATCATATCCCCACCTTAGTTTTCTCTTCTGGAGACAACAATAAAGCTTTTCATCTTTCATCCTGGACCTATTTTCCAACCCTTTAATCATCTTTGTTGCCTATTTCTTTAGTCGTACCGATTTCTTCACATCCCTTTGAACAGCAGTGATCAACACTGAGCAGAGTACTCCAACTCAGACCATAACCTGACTAATTCAGAACATAAAGGGATTATTGCCTCTCGTCTTTGTATTTCTTCATACCTCTGGTATCACATGGACTTTTCCATATATCACTGGGCCAAACTCTGTTCCAGGTCATCCCAGATCTCTCATTGATGAGACGTGTTCAGAAGTTCAGCATCAAAGCAAGACTCCCATAATGTCTCAAAGAAGTATCCATTTGGAGGATACGAAATTTCAGGCAAAAATAAAATATATTTTTCAAAAGAACAAAAGACAACTATTTTAAAAACAAAAATAGATGTTAAAAATGGTTGAAAAGGGAAATTTAGTAAAAGGAAATATTTTTGAAAGGCGAATCTAAGCAAATCAGATATTTTAAACAAGAAGTTTCCAAATCCAAGAGTCTCTCAGATCCATGCCCTCTACCACAGGGTCCGGGTTGGAAGCAACATAAACAGAAAATGGGATGCTAATTTGAGGATGTTAAAATTGGCAAGAAGACAGCTGATTTCACACAGGTATAAGGAAAAAGTCAATCTCAAGTAAGATGACCCAGGATGATAAATGTACACAGAAAAGTCATAGTTCAAACATGGTCAATTGGCAGTCTCTCGGGTATTTTCAGAATCTCCAGGATAACTCTGGAAAGGAGCCCTTCAAGATTATCCCAAAACATCTTTAGACTTGATACCCAAACGGTTAGCTGGCTTTGGTACTTAATAGTCCAGCTCTGACCTTATCCTCCTCCCCCTCAACACTTCCTCCTGCTTACTGGTTTCATTCATGGTTCACCAAAGTCATCTCGTGCCATCAGAATGAATGCCTTCTCCCTGAAATCTCTCTGAATCACATGGTGTCTAACTCATGGCTTCTGTATTCGTCTCTCCTGTTTCCATTCCACCCATTTTGTCCAATTACATCTCTTTTACTTATCCACTCAACTACTGCAATAAGTGCCCTACTGTCCCCTACCCTTTTCTCTCCGCCTGGAATCCTCTCTCTAATCTGCCAAATTCTTCCCTTCAGACACACTCCAATTATGTCACCCCTTCAATCAAAAACATTTTATCACTTCCCACTACCTCTCCAGATTAGTGTAAAACTCCTGACTTTGGGTATCAAAACCGCCTGCCGTAGAGATCTAAAACTATTTTTCAAACTGAGTCAATTGCTTCAGCCAGCTTTTCCATCTCTGTGATTTTTCTTGACCCATCTTTCAACTTCCAACTTTTTTACAACTTCCAAAATTTCATTCACTCATTGAGCTCATTTTAAATACATGTTCCCATGGGGCACAGCTGAATGAGAACTAGGGCAGATCGTTCTAAAGCATGGTCCTTCTTGCCTGGGTCTAAGGGTTACCTTCATGAGAGAATCCACAGACAGTTGCAGGAGCACTTGTGAATGTCATCAATTTTATGAAAAAAAATATATGTGTACATCTTTATGAAGAAAAACTTTTATCAAATTTAATGACCCTAAAAATAGTAAGAAATATCTATGTGGAGATGGTTTTCCTCCCTTCTTTCAGCACTGATGGCTGGCCATGAGCACTAGAATGACTTCTACCCCTTTTGACGGGAAGCACTATAGGGCTGGGCTTCTGTCATCCACCATGGAATGCCTCAGGGCGCTCCCCAACACTTCTCCCACAACAGTCCTGAACACCTGCTCATTGCCAGGCATCGTGTTAAACACTGAGGGTGAGGAAGTGAAAGGGTCTTGCTCTTGTGGAGCTCACAGTCTATAAGGAAAGCACACAGTTAAACCCACAACCGAAATGTTTGGGGGAAATGGTCTGCTGGAGAATGCACGTGTGTTGTTATGTAAACATGGACAAAGCTCATCTCAGCAGGGCAGTCAGGCCACCCCATCCATGATGATGATGAATTGCTGAGTCCGGAGGAATCAGAAGGGGGCAGCCAGATGCCTGAGGAAGGGAGGAGCTTCAGGAAAGAGGAACTAGTGTGTGGGGTGACACACGACACACGTAAAACGCGGCATATATGGTATGTTTTAGCACAAGGATAGAGTGACCATGGGGGGAAAGGGGCAGAGACAGTCATGTGTAGGATTCTGAATTTTATCCTGAACATGATGAGGCCAGGATTAAAAGCAAAAGGGTGGTATGCTCGTATTTGCATTTTAGGAAAATCATTTTTTGCAATAGAGCAGTGAATTCCGAGAGCCTATTCAGTGACTTTCAGTAAATACTACAAGTCTAAACTAAGATCGCAGCAAAGGGCATGAGAAGAAGAGGAAAGAGTCTGGAGATATTTGGAAGTTGTAATCAATGAGAGACAGTTACTAACTGGATGGGAAGAAGGAGGAGAAGGAGGAATCCCAAGTGACACTTGATACTCGGGTCTCTGGTCTGTGCAGCTAAATCACGGTGGTTACTTCCTGAAACAGGGAAGGCTGGAAATGCAAGAGGTGCACAAATGAGTTCAGTTCAATTCATTTTTCTAATGGTCCTGGACCCAGAAAGTGGGTCTGAATCAAAATGCAGATTTGGGATCCATCACAAGATAGGTGGTCACTAGCATGTGAACTTTAATGTAGTCACCCATACGGAAGACAGAAGAAAGCACAAGCTAAGAGTGTTCACTGGGCTTGAGAGTAGTAAGTTACCATTGGCAGACCCTTGGGAGGGTCAGCACTTTGGAGGGCTGAAGGCAGACACAGGGGGACTGGGTAAGACCACAGAGAAAGTGAAGAGTGAGACAGGGAGCCCACATTGCAGGCCAGGTAGGAGGGGCCTTCTCCAAACCTGAGCTTTCATGGCTCTGCTCCAACCCTCGCAGCCACACCCCCACCATGAACAAGGAGTCCTGGGTGTTGGGGTTAAAGGAACACCCTCACTTGCAGCCTGCCACTCCTTCTAGACTGTATTTGGATCATCCAGAAGCACATGACCACCTGTCCAAGGGTCACTTGCTGTGCTCACTTCTGGCCCCCTTCCCTGGGTGAGTCATACAGAGGCAGACCCATGCTAATGAAGTGTATGTGCTCCTAGCCCAAGGACAGCCAGGAACTAGCCCTTTGCAGGATGAGAAAAGGAGAAGACTAGCCTTAGAGGGGTGTGCTGGAACACTCCTATATACACACTTAAGGTCCCTTAGGTTGATGGATAGAGCAGAGAAGTGAACAATCGGGACAGCAGGCTGTCAGCCAGAAGCCCAGCCCAATTCCAACATGGAAAACCATGTTCTCCCTCAGAACTCCAAGGAATTTTACATTGGATCCTGATCCTCACAATGTATTTACACATGGTGTGCGGGCCTCTGGGTGTGCTCTTATTCTGGGCCCCACAAATGTTAGGATAGGCCTGGGGGAGGCAGAGACAGTAAACCATACGTTCAAGAAGAAATGGCAAGAGATGGAGTATTAGAGAAGAAGGGAATGGTTTTTTGTTTGTTTTCTTTTGCTTTCTAAGCTTACGCATAGAATGTTTCCACGGAGAAAGTGGTTAGAGATTCAGAGGAAAGGGAAATTTACCTATGGAGCATCCCTGAGGAGCTAAGAGAGCATGGAATTCAAAAAACTGGTGGAGGTGGGTGGTAGCTACAGAAAGAAGGGGTAACATTTATCACCCTGAGTCAAGAAGAGCAGTTCTAGGGAGTAGGAGGTCTAGGCCAAGGTCAAGGAATGGATGACTAAAATGAACTTGACCCAAACAATTAATAATTGCTTGCATTTACCTTTTATCTCTCTCTCTCTCTCTCCAGAGGCTCTGACAAATATTAACTACAATGAGAAGTATAGAATTTGAATTACTGTAGGGAAAGGTATTAGTAGAATGGGTTCTGGTAGACCACCTTGAAGTGCATTCCATAATTTGGTTTATGGAAAGAAACCTGGATTTAAATGTTTCTGCCAGAATGGTTTTAACATTTCTAAAAACAAGATGACTAAGTGTCAGATTAATTAGTGTAATGTATTTCACTCGTAAAGTCAGTGCTATAATTCTCAAACTTAACTGCAGTGCTTGGTTACCTCAAGAGCATTCACAAAACTGTACCAACACACTCAAAACAGGTTTAATTTTTATTCATTTTCAAAACTATAAATACATATCTGCCCTATATTTGCATTTTATAAGACATAGGAACAGTTGTGAAATCAAACTGGAAATACTAAGACTTCAAAGGGCCCCAAAACCTGTAAATTATAATATTAAGGAGCTGGAATCATCAAAAATTCCATCATAAACTGAATTCACCTACTGATATACTAAGACAAGTGGGAGAATTAACATTGATTTGGGACCATAAGGTTAAGGGAGTGAAACAAACAGCCCTAGTTTAACAGCCAATTTACTAAGTTACATATTTATCCATGCAGACAGAGTCAGGCTAAACAGCAGGTTCCCCAAAATCTGATGGCAACGTGAACATGGCAGGCAAAAGCCATTCCTTGCCCTAAGAAAGCCGGGTTTTCTCAGTCAGGACCTACGTGCCCTTCCAACACCCCCTTCAGATCCTCTCCTCTTTCTATGAAAGATTTGAGGGGCAACAGAGGGCTCCAGAATTTAACTTGGATCCCACTAGAAATAAGTTTAGTGATTTTTAAGTTTCCAAGCTAGACTCCTAAAGTCTTTTTATCCTAGATCATAAGTAGAGTACTTCTAAATATTCCCTGTGGAAAGATACAATCTGAGTTCCAAGTAAACATTTTAGAAAAATAACATTTGCCATCAATCTATTCTTAAACCAGAAAGAGCTCTACAATCTATTTTTCCTCATCAACCTCCCTTGTTCGGTTTCTCTTTTAATATAATAAAGTCCAAAATTTGTCGTACGTAGGCAGTTGTTCTTGGATTGGGGCTCACTTAGTAGACTTTTGCAGGGCAGCATTTCACCTGCAGACTGAGTCTGAACCACCACAGGAATGTCCACGGTGACATCACCACGGCAGTGATGGAAGCATCCATTATTACCACCCTGATGCCAGCATAAAGCACAGGTTAGAGAGGCTATGGATGTAGGGAGGGAGGTTGTTGGATGTGCCTCCCCTGCAGGTATTTGAATACAAGACAATGAAGGCCTGAAACAAAGGACTGGGATTTGGGGCAAGGACATGTTTGTTGGCAAGTACGAGACACAGTTCAACCAATACACTCATACAGATTGGAGCTAATGACTCAAAGGGCAGGATAGGGTCCCAAGGGAGGGCTGAAGCCCTGAAAATCCTTCTATCCTGCCCCAGGTAGTGATGACCCAACTTCTCTCTGTCCTCACAAAGCCTTCTTCCATTCTCTCTAGGCAGATATTAAGACTTAGTCCCAAACTAGACTGCAGGCTGAAGGGAGATGGGAAACTTGTCTAGTTCATCTTCTATACCCCCAGCATTTAGGGACAGGATGAAGCCCCCCAGCAGTTCATGGATACCTGTCTCATTGGTCACCCTTTGCCCCAGGAGTTGGCCCCACATGGCAGAAATAAGATCAGGCAGAAGTCTCCTTCCCTTGAGCCCCACTTCCCTACCTGCTGCTTGCTCTGGGAAATGGATTTTCCTCTGAGAAAATGAGTCACTCTTCTCAGAATTCACACCAAAATTTCCAGGAAATTTTCTTTTTTTCATCCCACCTCTCTTCACTGTTCTCCTTGATTCCCCAGAATTGAGCCCATTTTTAAGCGCATTCATTTTCTGCTAGCGCACTTTATCTGAATTTTGGTATATTTTAGCTATTCCTTAGCAAACACAGGAGGGAGCTCTTTATTTTGTTCAAGTATGGAGTCCTGCTCAACTTCCTCTTAATTTACATTTGTCTACTTTCAAGACATTTCTGAATTATTTTTCTATGTTCAAAAGCTAGTGGAGTTCTTCAAAGGGACTGTAATGGCTGAGCCCAAAGCAGAGAGATACACTTGTCTACCATTTGGCACCTCAAGTTTATAACCTTGTGGGATGAATACACTAGCATGTGCCTGTGAGCCCCATCCTTGAGGGGCAAAGGAGAGCTCAGTATCTTATTTCTTTATTATCGTCATCCAGACTAATTTCAAGTGAGTATTTACTTAACCACTTTAATTCAATTTGACTGTACTTATGGCATTCAATCCAACACATATTTATTAAGCTCCTCTATCAGAAGGATTCTGACACCTTTCGTTCCTTTCACAGGATATCCAAGCTCTTCTTGCAACATAACCCTCATGTCTTGCTATATCACTAACTAAAAGACCCAAGTGTCAACTATAAAGATTTTTGTTGCTTGAGCTCATTTCTGAAAATGTACAGTAAGCCAGTATCTTATCCTTGATAAAAATATTCCCTCCATGATGGGAACATTAATTTTATGTGGCAATTTGGCTGGGCCATAGTTCCAGATATGTAGCTAAACATTATTCTGGACATTTCTGTGAATAAATTTCTATATGAAGTCAATATTTAAATCAATGGATTTTTAGTAAAATAGATTGCCTTCCAAAACATGAGGGAGCCTTCTCCAATCAGTCAAAGCCCTGAACAGAATTTTAAAAAAGGCTGACGTCCCCAAGCAAGAGGGTATGCTGCACTGGACAGTTTTCAGGATTGAAAGCCTGAGTCCCTTTCCTGTTGGCCCACCCTACAGATTTCGGCCTTATGTGCCTCCATAGCCATGCAACCCAATTCTTCAGAATAAACCTTTTTCTATGCATATCCACATCCTATTGGTTCTATTTCTCTGGAGAATCCTAATACATCCCCATTCACCACCCAGGGTGTTGAAGAAGAAAGGATAGGAGAGGAAGTCTTGGACAGGGCTTGGAGTTTTTTGGAGGAGTGATTAAATGCCTTTCTGGGGAAGGGCTAAAGGTATGTTTCATGATGGGCCACTGTGAAAACCAGGGGAGAAAGGTGGACCTCTTGTGATACTGTCCCAGAAATAGTTTAGGAAATGATTTGGGGCCTCTAAGAAGGCATCAAGATTCAATGCAATTTGATCAATTGATTTAAAATATGTTGAAGTTTTATTTTTAGGCTCCATGGTGTTATGGCCTATATCTAGATGTCCCCATAACGCCTCGTGCACTCATAGATGGGGCTTTGGGGAGGTGACTGGGTCATGAGTGTGACAGTGGATTAGTCTACTGATGGATTTATAGCTGGATGCAATATTTGGAGGCCAATGCTGAGGATTTAGTTCAGTGGTGCTGATGCCTGCCTCGAAAGCACAAAGTCCTGAGTTCGATCTCTGGTACCAAAATATATATATATATATTGGAAGGCCAAGCCTGGTGGGAACAGGTGGGTCACTTTGGGCATGGTCACCATTGGCATGGCCTGGGTATATCTCCTTCCTCCTCCCTTAATCCACCTCTGCTTCCTGCCTGCCATGCCATGGACTGTTTCTCCTCCACCATACCTTTCTACCATGCTGCCTTGCCTTGGAGTCAGCCAACTATGGACTAAAATCTCTACCAACTGTGAGGCAAAAGAAACCTCTCCTCCTTTAACTTGTGGGGGTCAGGTATTTTGTTCCAGCAATGAGAAAATAACTAAAACACGGGGTAAATTTTTGGCCCATTTCTCTGTGCTGATTTTTTGAGACCAGAGGGGGCTAGAGGACTGCTTGCTCCACATTAAATCCATGTTATCATATTGGTGATAAGTACAGGGTCTACCCTGCTTGTCCACTGTTGACCCCAGTCCTTATTTCTTATAAAGCAAGTAAGCCTGCCTTCCCTCTTAGGGTCCAGGCAGGGATGCCCCAGTTTATGCAGTGATGGGCTCCAGCAAATGTGTGTGATGCAAACCTTTGTGAGTCACTCTATATTCTGAAGACATATCAGAGGAGATGGCTATTTCAAGGAAACTTTACAAGTGGCACTCCTTAATGTCACAAGCCATCCTGATTTAAGATCATAACCTCTCTGTAATTTATTAGCTTATGAAATTCCTTTCCTGCCTAAGAGGTTTAATTAAAATAAGACAAAACTATATTAATAACATTCAGTTGCCTGAAAGAGTTATTGCAGAAATCCTTATGGTATTACAAGAAAGTATTTTAATATCCCAAATAAATGTCAAGTTCCCCAAATCAAACTGATAGGCAAATTAATGAGGGGTAAATGTCACTATTATCCATATTTCCCCATATTTTTAGAAAAGAAAACATTCACACAGCGAAGGGAATCAGAATCTGTTTTTATATCCCTAGAGTTATAAACATTTGTATCAAAATATTTACAATTATAGTATATGAAATAATCTATTAATGAAGAAGCCAAATACAGTACTAGAACATCCCACTAATGTAATGCAAATTACATGAGACATAAATGTCACAGAAGAAAAAGTAAAAGACAAGGGAATATATGGTTCACTCCAGTCATAATTGAACTTCTTAACAAAATGAGAGTATCTCTTTGGATATATCTGATATGTAGGTATGCTTTTGCCCATAATACAGCCTTATATAATCATGTGATAATCAAATCATAATTTTAAAAGTTCTTTACCCCATGGTTTCTTTTCTGGTCAATCTCTACTCTCAGCCCAGGTAATACAGAGCCTTGCCTCAATATTCCCTTAACCAGAATAAGCATAAAGAAATATACTTAGCAAACAGTCCCTTTACATAAATACCAGCAATTATGGTACAACAACTCCCCAAGAAAGAAAAGTATGTAAGAAATGGATGAGGAAGCTAAAGGAAGAAAAGTAGGCAAGATATCTCAGATTCTTCCCGGGGTAGATCTACAGACAATAAAGGGAATGCCTTCCACCAAAGACCCCTATTGGCAGAATCTGAGATGGCTTAAAATAGCTGCTCCAGGGTGGAGAGCTGCCTGCTGCACCAGGAATAGCAAAGACTTCTAAGTCCTACAGAGAAAGGCTCCTGCGGCCACAGACAGCTCAAATATGGCCTGACCAGGTACCCCAACAGTTTTTGGTACTTTTTAGAAGAAATTATCTGCCTATCAACTGTATTTTTATTCCTTTCGTGGGCTTCTCCCCCACCTAGGAACAAGCACTCTGTTTTTCTCATGACTGAAATATGGTATGCTTAATACTTCTCAATTATATAGCACCTTTCATCCAAGGACCTGGTGACTGGTTTTGTTTTGTGTGTGTTTTAATTAGCTTCCTAAATTGTCGAGCCCTCACCTGGGGAGGGGGCAGGCCCTCTGAGAAGTCACTACTGTAGCCAGTGTCAAATTGTGAGTGATCACTGAGTCTAGAAGCCCTAATCCCCAAAGTGGGTAATTAGATAAAACTTCCTCAAAAGTTCTAATCCAGAGGAAGAGTAACGGAATCATGTCACATCTCTCTCTTGTTAGATAACTTATAAGAAATGTTGACTCATTGAGGGGAATTCTAAAAACATAACTCGAACATAGTGCTATGTTAAGAGTGCCTCTTGCTCTTACAGTTTATGTAGTGCTTTCACTACTGAGTTGCTCATTAGTGGCTCTAGAGAAACTCCAGAAGAGCTGCCTTGGCTTTAAGCTAGAGCCTGACAGCATCCACAAGAAGTCCCAGTGAAGGACTGCTGTGAGGTCTGGCTGGGCTCTGCCCCTCCCCAGTCCTTCTGTGGGCAAAAGTTCTCTTTCTTGGTTTAGCTAACCGACCAAATTGGCCTTATAAATTATCTCTCTGCCTCCCCTTTTGTCACAGATGCCACTGAATTCCATGGAGCTAAATACCTTTTCTACAGAAGCATAGTGGCTCCCTGGCCAAAGCCCTCCTGTAGGCACTTCAGAAAGGAATGTGGTGTTTTGCCTTGGGTTGGAAGGTAAGATGGCTTCCAGGCTTAGCATAGTCAGCCCAGAGACAGGATCTGCTCTTACCAGAACTTGTACCGTTATTTGCTATTTGTACTTGGTGCAGCAGGTCTGCAAGACCTCAGCGTGTGACTCAGAATTCACTCTCAGAATTGGAGCCAGTGGTGTGGCAGCTAATGGGGCCCCAGGCTGTGCATGTAACTGAGGGCAGCTGGTGGCCAAGTCTGGTAGCTGCACGGAGGTTCTCTGACTGCAACATGGGAGCATCAAAGCACAAGCTGATGACCTTCTCCCCAGGCGGGCGCTGGACAGTAGAGAATCTCCCCGGGAACAGTTTGGGTTTGGGCCTCTCCCGCTCTTCCTTCCCCCTCCCCAACCCCCTCTCTTTTCTTGGTTTTTCCTACACAATGTCTTCCACTCCCCTCCCAGATTTGACTGCTTCTTCCTCCCCACCCCCCAGATATCCCTAGACATTAGTTCAGCCTCATTTCTTCCTCAGGACCAGATAGAGAACACCAATGATGAAGCTGAAGCAGAAGCAAATCCATGCCAGGATGAAGCAGTAACCATGGTGGTGGCCGGAGAGAAAGTTCTGGTTCTTTTTGGCGTAACGATCAGTGTAGATGGACGCTCCGATCAGAATGCACAGCCCTGGGGGAGCAAAGGTGTTGCCGGGTTATTATTGATGTTTGGACATTAATAGCAAGAAAAGGTTTTCATGATTTTCAGAAGATCCTATGTCCCTCATTGGCAATGGAAAAATGAGCTCTGGTTATTTGTCCTGAAACAGCTATGCTGTTTGTTTGCTCTGGGCCAAGCTTGATGGCTGTGTTAATAAATTTGAGATGTCTGGGCTCTTACATCTGCACTGGTTTGTGTGGCTGCAAGTTTGAGATAAAACACAGAACATCGTGTTCAACACAGCTTTCCTGCCTGGACCTCTGCGTGTCTAGGCAGGCTACTTAGAGATGCAGAAGAACATGGCTCACCCCACTCCACCCCACCACTGGTACTAGGAAGAATAAGAGAAGAGTGAGCACTGCAATCATTGTGTGCACCATGACAGTGTTTGACTCTTTCTCAGGATTCCCATCTTCCTGTCTTCTTCAAGTGTCTTATACAAAAGTGTGCCCCAACCACACAGTGCATCCCAGGAGTACGGTTTCTTAACCAGTGAAGCAGATTAGAGGTCTTAATCCGAGTAGCAATCTCAGGTTCATGACAAGAGAACAAATCGCCAGAGGAGAAATAGGTATGAGGCAATTTCATGGAACTAATCTGCTGGAGTAGCCAGAAGCAGGGTGGCAAGGTCCACTTAAATCTCCTCACACGTAAGCCAGAGTCTTACCCACTGCCAGATACTCACAGCATGCCAGCATGGTGGCCCCTGAGATGAAGAACCGGTTTCCCTTCTCCATGGTGAAGAGCTGAAACACGAAGACCACGAGGGAGATGACGGAGAAGATGATGGAGAGGATCATGAAGGCCTGCACACTCTTAAGGGCATCTGTTAACACAGATCAGGAGAGTGAGGCCATTGGGCTGATGTCTCCCTAACCATACCACTGTCACTAGGGGACTGATAACTCTATACAGACCTTGGTTTCTATATAACAGGCTAGAGCATTCACCTCCAGTACAGTTTTTCCAAAGGCCTGCAGATGCATTGATCCCATCAGAAACCACCCACACCTGAAACCAGAAAGAAACAAAAAGCTGATTAAAATTGATCCTCTGCTTTCAAAAGAAAAAGAGAAAAGAAAATAACAAATCGCTTGCATTGGGGCCATATCTTAATCAAGACACCCTATGTAGCCATAAGTATGGCTCGCAGCCTATCTGTTGTTAGAAATAAGGTCCAATTAAAATCACAACTCCAAGAAATAAAAGAGAATGTGTAACCCTGAAAAATGTCACTTAGCTTCTTTGAACTTCACATTCTTCATGGCTTGAAAAATGGAAGTAATTCTACCGTAGTGGCTTAAAATTCTAAGGTTCTAAGAAACAAAAGCCCTGAATGAGGAAACTGGTGGTAAGTATGTACAATTCATACATCCTATCAAGACTGCTTCATTTAAGGGGAAAAAAGAGGAAAATGTCTAAGTGGTGACAATGAAGAAACCTGAGGGTTACTAGGAAAGTAATGTGGAATCTGGTACTCAATTAGCCACTTTCACCTACACAGAAAGATCAGACTTTGACTGTCACACAAGCAAAGTAACTTCATAACAAAATAGTGAAGCAAGAGCTTTATTATGTGGGCATCTGTGAGCAGAAGAATGACCAGAATGTATGTCTCCAGGCTCACGATGGTGCCTGCATCCCTTCTCACCCAGCCCAAGAAAAATAATTACCCTTCTGGAATAGAAAATAAATGAAGAACTTTGTCTATACACATACAGACATGTACATACTAGAAAAGCAGAGCTCAAGGTATGTAATCAATCACTTGCTCTCTATTTAATAAACAACTGCAAGCCCAGCCATGTATCTGGGGTTGATAACACAGATATGCAGCACATGGGCATCCAACCCTTAAAACACTCTCAAGTTTGCCAGACTTGCTATTCTGAGATACTTTGGGCTTGGCCTATAGAATGGATGGATTTCAAAATCTGGAGGAGGTGACATGGGCTAAGGTTTTGTCTTATCAGTTGTGCTTAAATTAGCCTTGCTTGTAATCATACCCACTAATGCTTGCAAAGCTCTTCTTTCCAAACTTTAAAGTATATTTATTCTTTACCTGAAGCAGGGACTGAAACAGATTCTGGAAGCTTCATTTGCCCACCTAATGATTACTGGCCTTGGGTTAGTGGTCTTGATTCTTGGTTTTATTTTGGAGGCAAGCATAACAAAAGCAAACCGGGTGCTAAAACTACCACCAGGGGTCAGAGTAGCCCCAGGTTCAGAGAGAAAAGACCACTACCTCTACATGATAGTTTTTGAGGTTGCTTTGTTTGAGTTAATTCGATGGCACCAGGTTAATCTTGCAATATTCCATTTTTACATGCTACTCTCTGCCCAAAAGTTGAGTTCATCAGTTTGACAACCAAAGACTCTCATCCTCTCACTTCCATCCACCCTTCAGAAGGAAGGGAAGGGCTGCTCCACCCACACGGGGGTCCTCATTATCCCTGAACAAAGTAGGTCCTTCCCAAGTGCACACCTTTGCTACACTCCTACCTGAAAGGCATCCCTAGCTTTTTCTACCACCCATCTTTCACCTAGACAGCCTACGCACTGACCAGTCCTTCAAGTTCACTTCCACTTTGCCTCTGCTGGGGGGAAGTTTCGCTTAGAGGCTGAGGAAGCCTCCCTGTATCCTCCTGCCCCTAAATGCCGGTAGCCCTGGCAGGATCACTTACACGGACGCTTGCTTTTGTCCTTTGGTTATCTAACTGTTTAATGTGTGAGTGTATTTTTATTTATTTCCACAACTAAGCCAGAAGTTCATAAGAGGGCGGACACTGTGGCTTAAATTTCTTTTGTAGCACATTATGAATTAAAGTAATTCCCCCGTGAATGAATGAACAAAAGAACATGACTCACATTGGAAATGGTGCAAACAAAGAGCATAATAACAGTGGCGATGTGGACCACAAAAATACCAGCCAGCAATACCAACATCTTGCCTTTTGTAGTGACTCGTTAGTGAAGAGAGTTCTGTAAAGAAAAAAATATAAAAAGATAAAATGTTGTCAGATTCAATAAGACAATTCAGCTTTCCCACATGTGTGGTCTTTCTGCTAAAATGGAAGCATTGCAATAAAAATCATCACAGTTTTGTTATAAATCCCTACAAACACCTTGTTAACCTAGTTCTCATCTCAATATGCCTAATTATCTATCCATCTCTGTACATACATCTAAATAGAAACAAAATTCTGGATTTTTTCCCCTCCTGGTATTTATAATCTCATTTCTCTAATATTGCCTATTTCCAAAAAAAGAACATTTTATGACAGCTGTTAATATTTCATCTTGTTTATGTTTTAAAGGCCAAGAGTAAAATTTTGGTTTTTAAAAGGCCTTTGTAATTTTCAGATCTCTGTGAAACAACATATAAATTTCCACTTTCCACTGGGGAAGTGTCCATAGTTCCACCAAATTGCCCACTCAGCAATTTTAACAGAAGTGATGCCTTGTGTAGAATAGCAGTTATTTCTCAATGTCTAGATACTGAATCAGCTAGTAATTTGATCCCCAGTGAGATATAAAGTGGGAGAGATACAACTTCTATTATTATAATACTCTTTGGTATTCAATAATTATAACAACCTAATTACAGTTTAATGGTCTGGGCATCTCTTGATTGAACGTTTCAGCCTAGTATTGCCATACCTGAGCCTTTGGCCCCATATGCCCGTGTACAGACCCTGCTGTTGGTCTGGGACAGAATTCTATTTCCAAGCTCAGTATGACAGCTCTAGGGCCCTAGAAGTAGAAAGCTTGAGATACCACCAGATGCACCTTCTACCTGTGTATGACATTTACACCAATTCCAGTCCTTCAGGACTCAACACAAAAAACAGGAAGATTCATAAATCATGGGCTGGGAGGATTGAGAATTAATATAGATTAAGAAAGTGCATGGTTAAACAAAAGCTTTCAGCCACAATCTCAGCAGAAGGGAAAAAGGGAGCCCATTGATCATAAAACCTAGAATCTAAAGGAAGTGTGAAGGATGCGCATGGGGGAGGCTGTTCTGATTTATGCCAGCTGCAGGAGTGCTTTGTCATGCCCACGACAGTTATGATGCAGGGCAGGCTCCGGGGACATGGAAAGGAAAGGGCTGGAGGTTACTCACAGCCCAGGCAGGGAGTAGAGAGCAGGGTGGAGGCCGCCGCTCTGCCAGGGAGGAGATGGTAGGGCACATCTGACAACTGCCCCACTTCTCTCTCCCTCCACCTAATGTAACTGATGCTTTGCATGTGCTTGAGTCACTTTCATGCCATACCAGATATTTATTGGAGAGCACTGATGCTACCACCATCCAACACTTCAAGTGTCTTTTATCTCCTCTCACTTTCCTTATTAGGCTCTCAAAGTCCAGCATGATCTACAGTACACAACGGTGCCGTGCTCTCTGCAGGCGAGGAACAGGAGGCAGACCCTAGATTTCACCATCCACCGACCCTCTCCAGCAACCCCCTCCCCACCTACGCCCTCCCCTCCAACCCAGGCCATCTTTTAGGAATGTGTCCAATATAACTATGAATTACACAAAAAGCATGAAGTTTCTCCTGCCGCCTCAGGGGAGAGCTTAGAGCTTTTCCCTGCATTGATAATCTCTCCACGCATTCAAATTCCTTTTTTGCTTTACTCAGGGTTTTGCACACCTCTACAATTTCCTGCTTGACTTTAATGTGTGGTGAGAAGAGGTTTTTCAAGAAGTTAAGTTAGGATCATATAGCCTTTGATCTGCCTCAGTTTCCCCATATAAAGTAGAGGCTGCGATGCCAATGGTACAGGGAAATGTGAGGACTAAGTTGGACTCCATATGTTGAACACCTAGCACAGGATCTGGCACATAGTAGGTAATAATACTAGGATTGCTTAGCCTGTGTTCATTATTATTGATACTATTCATATATGAAGCCCAGTGGCTGTTGCCAACCCCATCAAGTTTCTTAATCACCAGACTGTCCCAAGTTGAGTGCAAAGAATAAGATATCTGCCATCTCATTCATGAGGCAGCATGTATAAAGTCACTTTGGTCCTCCTAGCAACTGTCATTTTTGTCTAATCTTACCCCACGAGTGGGGAGATTGCTAAGAACACACCCTCAGGAGTGGCCAGGACAAAGTTGGAGAAACTCTTCTCATCCCATTCTCTTGATATCCCCAAGATTCATATCATACCTCACTCCATCCTGATCTCCCCCCTCCTGGCCAAAGGGTTAGGCTGATTGCTGGAAAACACAGATATTACATAATGGATATTTGTGTGTAATCCACCTTGGGCTCTTTAAACGATTCCCATAGTCCTTTTGCTTCTAATTTATAAATATTCTCGTCCTAATGGTGAGCAGTGACCAAGGGGCTGAGAACAGAATATAATACTCCAAATGAGGCCACTTAAATGAGTTGCAGAAGACATGGTGAGTTCCCTCTCTGACCAGCACTGGGATTCAACAGCACTTTCTCCTTGGGCTGCTGTGTGATCTTCTCCAGTCCAGCCTGACTTCCTTTCACCTGCACTCAAAGTCTCCATGGGGAAGACTGCCCATTGCACCTCCACCATGGCAAATTGCATTCTGGGGCCACTGATCTAAGCCACAGCCCCACTGGATCTTTATTCCCTTTGCAGCTGGAGGAGTGGGTGGAGGAATCAAGCTAAGAAGTGACTCTCTTTCAGTCTAGATATTTTTATGATTGGGCAGTGTCTTTCCACCATAGAAAGGAGCACAATGTCTTGGATTAACAAGTGTTTTTATTGTGCAAACTACACAATTCTCCCCACTCTGGCTGCTATGTTGAGCCAAAAGTAGAGGCTGTTTAGCTGGAGCTATTGCATCTTTTTTTTTTTTTTGGTACCAGGGATCGAACTCGGGTCCTTGTGCTTGCAGAGCAGGCGGCGGAACCACTGAGCTAAATCCCCAGCCCAAAGCAGAAGGCAGGTTTTTGTTTTTTTGGTTTTTTTTTTTTGGTATCAGGGATAGCGAGGCAGGCAGTGGAACCACTGAGCTAAATCCCCGGCCCTGGAGCTATTGCATAATACATATCACTTAATCTTTTCACTGCCCCAAATTTGTCAGGTTTTATCAGTACCATCCATTGTTAGTTTAGAGGGGCTTCCATTATTTGTTAATGGCCCTGTGCCAACACATTCAGAAACAGAATGAATGAGCTTCTTAAATTTCTGTGCTGGATCATCCCAGGTGAGATCCCACTCCTCACCCCAAGTAGAGAAACCCTCAGTCTAGGCAGAGGCAACCCTTGAGGTCTTTAGAAAAAACTATTAGTGACATCTAATTCACCAATGTCTGGGAATATACCAAATCTCAGAGTAGAATGGGTGTATATAGCAGACGTTCTTATGCCCTTGAAACTTCTACCCACCCATTATTTACAGCATAGTTTGTCGGAAGACTCATTCCCAACCCCACTGTGTATCTTGCTTCATACAAAGGTACTCAAATCATTTCTGAGCATTTAGATCATTAGAAATAGTGGCTGCTACAACTTTCCTTCTTAGCAGCATGTTTTACTAAAACAATAATAGAGTCCTCCCTCGCACCTCCCTAAAATGCTATGGGTGGCAACCCCTTGTCATAGCTGAGTAGCTAAACCAGGAAGCAGAGCATAACAGCATGGCAACTCTGAATGCAGCAGTATATCACCCGCTTCCCACAGAGTATTTGGGCCACCAGTAGTCCCACATGCATCAGTGGTTTTGGGGGACTCCTGTAACAGCAGCATTCTTTGCTGTGCTTAGACTCCAAAGCCTGGGCCACCAGACCTGGTTAATCCACAGTGTTTGGAGGGGTGGGGTATCCACTGGCTTCTCTCTGTGGGATGCCAGAGACACATTTCTGCACCCACCACTGTAAGTGAAGCAGGAGTCTCACCTCCCCAGTGAGCTTGGCAGAGGGTGGTCAAGGGCTGGGTAGGAAACTGAGAAAGGTACAGGAAGCATGAATGTTCACTCTAGAAAGAAGTGATTGTCTCGAGGAATGAGAATTAAAGGCACACACAGGTCTCTGCTAGCCCTTTTCTCTTCTTCCTGCCCTAATGAACAGGCCTGCTGCTTCCCTTTCATTTCTGACCAGTTTCTCCTCTTCTTCCCACTGCCGAGCCCACATGGGAGCAGCAGTCTCTTTAAGCTCCTATCTCTAATGTCAACCTCACTACTACTGGCCATTCTGTATTTGGATTAAGCTCTTTGCTGATAGAAAGTATATTACACTTAGTGAACATGATCCTGAGGATTTACAATTCCTGCCATGGTAGCTATAAATGACTAATATGGGGGAAGAGGGGAGAAGAAGGTTTGCCAGTCTCTCTAGCTGTCTCTAGCCACTTAAATCTTTACTGGGTTCTTGCTTTGCTCTTACACCTCCTCCCCTCCAAAAAGTGAATAAAAGGAAACATAGCCCTAGACTGTCTTGTACTGGGCATTGAGACTTCGTTGTGTAGTGAGACTTTGTTTTTCTGATGGGTAACTCATTCTGAAGAAACTTTGAGAAACTGACTTTTAAGGGACAATGAGGAAGTAGAAATGTGCAGTTTGACTACAATTGCTAAGCAAGTAACCAAATAACTCTTTCCTGTTGTGCGCTATGGGGGCTCAGAGGAAGAGATTTCTCTAAGGGTGATTGAACCACCGTAACTGGGAGCAATCAAACAGAAGAGAGAAACCCAAACCTCACTTCTCCAGCAGAGGAAGTGGTAGAGATCGGAAACCTGAGTCACTGGAGAATTTGCCTGAGGCTGGGTGCGTACAGCTCAGGCCGGGAACTAAGTGAACAGCGGAGTAGTCCCACGGCCCTCAAATTTCCATGATTCACTTGAAAGTGGGTGAGAGTCTACCAGATGAAAGGCAAAGTGGAGACATTCTCGCGGTGCCAAGATGGTGCAAGAGGATTCCTGAGGAGCAAGGCTGGCCAGCTGCAGCCAGTTTAGGCATTTCTCTGGTAGCCTAAGGTAGCCTGGGCTTTCCTG